ATGCGGTCCTGCAGCTGTTGCGTTTGAGCACCGAACATAGTTTTCATACAAGGTTGCTTTAGTAGTCTCCGTGCATTTGGTTGCAAGTGACTCTGATTCCGGCACATGTCACACACAATCTACAATCTAAAGTATAGTGCTTGCTGCATTGCATTCCAACCGGAATCCGCGCATTGTGTATTTATGAAGCATCTATACGCTAAGCGCTGTCCGTGTCCGTTGAGCGCATTGTTGCCTAGCCGGGGCAGCGCGCTGTCGCTGCCGCTCTTGCTTATGCTGCAGTGTTCAATCACATGCCCAGGCATCGTGATTCAATCCAGGCCCTATGCAAGCTGGACATGGAAAAAGCTTTGGCTGAAGTACTTGCTGAAAGGTCCTGCTGCGGTTGGGGAGTACTACGCCCCCGACCTTACTATGGTCAATCTTTGTGCTGGAGCTGGCACACGCACAGAAAAACTTTGGCCTTCCCATTTGTCTACATGCGGCCCTGTCCACTAATGCCACATCAGCTTCTAAGAAAGACTATGTTCGTTCATCTATCTTCCAATGTCTGCCAGCAATGTTTCTAGCTTTCGATCCCACTTTTGCACATGCTCATGAATCATGACAGGTGTTTCCACAGGAGGGTCACCGACGTGTTCCATGCTTTATATATAACTGGGAAAAGCACCAAAATGTGTTGACCGTGTTCAGTCGACACAGCACTGTTGCCAGCCCAAACAAAGACTTCAAGAGCATATGTCTGCCACAGCAGAGATGCCCTTGATATCCACTAGCCATAGTCCTGACAAGTGTGAATAAAGTATGTAGTTGAACATTCTGAAAAGATATTGCTGCTTGGGTTCTTTCTGTGGAGTGTCAGTCAGCACGTTCCCCATCGCTGCTTGGTGCACCAACATTGAGAACCCTCAGCCTTTTGATACTACCCACCCGTTGGACAGTGTCAACAGTGATGATTTGATGTGATTATCAATGACTCTGTTGAAAATACCAACAAAGGCTCAGCAAGGCACCCGTATCTTACCTAAAGACATCTCTGGGCTCAAGCTGACATGCCTCTCCCAGAAGATCTCTCCATCTCCTAAATCGCCTCTGGAAGATGCAAAACTGTTGCGGCAAAAGCACCCATTTTCCCACTGCAGTGGGTCAGCAGTTGGTCACTTGTGTCACTCTGATTCCGGATGCCCCTTGTTTTAGGTCGAATGTGTTTTGAACAGCCAGACTCTTTAGTGAAGTGCCTGAATCATGGAAACTCATTGGGCCAGTGACCAAGCGGACGCATGCGGACGTGTCGATTTGAGAAAGAGTATGAGCTTAATTCATGAAATAAAATCCAGAGTTTTCCTTCTTTGGGTCCTTCGCAGGCATAGTCTGCTCACCTTCAACATCGTTCAAGTCCAGCAGACTCAAACATCATCAACTAAAAGCGTGAGCCACTGGCGACCTCGTCT